TTCCTCGTGCTTTGCGTGTTCTCCTGCTGCACTGATTTGCTGATGTCCAGTTGTGCCCTACAATAGCGATTATCTCAAGGATGTCACATGGGCTAATTCTAAAGTGAAGAACTTTCAAAGGGTGGTAATATGCACCATCTTGCAATATATTTGCAAAGTACCGGCTGCATGGTACACTGACTATTAAAATAAATTGTGACTAGCATAAGGTAGCATTTGTTCTAGTCTTTCCATTGCATCTATGTTTATCCACTTAAGAACAATTGTCTGCCACCACTAGAGATCTAGGCACAGTCTCCATGGTAAAAGAGCACCTGATATTGTACACTCTTGTTGAGACAAGCTCTGTATCTAGGCAGCCACCCAAATTCCATTCTATGTCCTATTGGCTCTTGGAATCTTCTCTGAGAGTCAAAAGTAAAACTTACTCTTCTACTCATCTACAAATCTGTGTGTTGTAAAGGAGAACAGGTTGAATAAGCTGGTGCAGAGGGCAACATTGCTTGTGATGGAATTCCGTGAGGAGCTCACCGGCTGAGAAAACTACCTATAGAGTATTATTGCCGGAAAGACGCATTGGCCAAATAATATTTTGCTCCTTGCATAGCACCTCTCATATTGACTTATAACTATCAATAAAGTAGGCCTCAGAACACCCCTGCGTGATATGTTAGTAGTAGTACACTCATTTTACAGAGGGGTAAATGGAAGTACAATGTAGATGAGTGAATTGCCCAAATTTGCAGTCAGTCAAGGGCAGAACCTGGAAGATAATACAAATATGAGAACTGTCTAGCAAAGAGACTGTCCCCTCTCTGCTTCAGGATGTACATCTCTGAAAGCCACCTCAAGCTGCATTGACTTTTTCTTGGCTCCACATTACCATGTGAGCTTGTGTCGCTCTTTTCTTTTGTTTTATAATCCGTGTTAAATCAGGATGAAGACCCTGTTTTAATAGTGTCTGGCACTGGTCTCTCGTGCTGCCAGGATCATAAACAAGGTCACTTAGCAAGATGGTTGCCCTACAATATTATAATTGAAATATGTTCTTTCAAATATACACAAGATGCAAAGTTCTTCTTACCATGTTGTGTTCCTTCCCCCTTCAGATCCAATCACTGGCTTCCCATCACCTTTCACAATGAGATTAGACTTCTCATCCCCACCTTTGAGGCTCTGAACAGCTCTACTCCTGTCTTGGTCTCTCTATTTGTATCTTTCACTCTGACCAAGCCCTTCTTCCTAGCCACTTGCTTTGTATCTTTCTTCTGCTCTGATCTTTGTCTCTCCTTCCCAGATACCCCTTACACCTTACTACCCTCCATTTACTCAGATCTCTCCTGGAAACATACCTCTTCTGCAAAGCCTACTACTGATTGCCTGCCTTAGCCAAAAAGATCGTTACACATCTGTTTAATGCAAAAAATCATAGTGTGGCTGAGTTAACTTTCCTCTACTCATCAGTGCAAGTTTCTCTGCTTTGTTTTGTCTCTCCATTTAGATAGTAATCTTCTTGGGGCAGGGACTGTATCTTCCTCTGTATTTTGTACAACGCTTAGCATGCTGTCAATACTTAACTCATAGTTACCAAAGATCTTCCATCTTGTTGGGCTGAACAAAACAATTATAAACTTGTTTTAACACCTGGAGCCCAGTTTTCAGACATTGACACCTGAATGTAATGTCCATCTGAGGGGTTGGACTGTCCTTTTAAGATAAATGTGTTTGAAAATTTGGCACACAATGTTTAGCTTGTTGCTAGTGTTAGAAGAGAGTGGGTAGTACCATAATAAAGAAGATTGATATCTGGCAAGTAAGATTTTTATGCTAAGTTCATGATTAAGCAAAAATTCCAGACCGTTTTTAAATACAAAAGTTGAACTACCTGGGAAATGATTCAATATGAAATGAAATATAAATCAGTTTTCAAATTTCTATTCATATATTCCTATAATAGTTGCAATTCTTGCAAAGGTAACATAAAAACTGTCTATAATTGTCTGGAACTTCCCAAAAAGTGTATAATGCTCTTGTGGTTCCTCAGCTGGCTCTGCAGCCGAAGTTTATAGCACAATGATGATAGTCTGCACTTCTAATATCACCCATCCCCAAGGATCTCCAAGCATTTACTTATACTCAGTAAACCTCACGACAAAGCCCCTTTCCCCCCTACCCATGGTCATCCAGTGAGGTAGACAACTATAAGTACATTCCTCTAACTATATGTAAATTTAGACATAGTGCGGACAAGTGACCTGACCGGGACCTAGGAGTCTTGAGTCCCAGTCCTTGTTATAACTACTGGTCAACGTTAGCACAGTGGATTTTGAAGAAAAATGTTGACTCCATTATTATCCCTTTGGCTGTTCACTAGCAATCATTGGTGGTGTGATCATGGTACACAAAACAACCACAATACAATGGTGTTTCTGAAGAATTTCATGAGGAAACATGCTCTTCAGACTGTAAGTGCGGCTGCTCCTTCCTGTGTCTCTCCCGGTATTTCTTGTCTTGTCTTGTCTTGTCTGTTAGTCCAGGAGCTCTTAAAGTTTTTTCATAGAGCGGATCAGGCTACATCTTAATGCAGAGAGAATCTTGTGGACACTTCTACTCCCATTTCCAGTCACACACACTACCTCCTTTCCATTCATGATCAAATAATATAACTGTATTAAATACAGCCTTTGTTTATGTGGAAAAGGAATAGGTGGGAAAGTATTTTGTTTTTAGCTTCTTTTTAATGTGATTTAGCACCTTAGAAAAATGAGAGCCAGTACCATGTGACCAGTTAGCCTCTGTAGGAGTCCAGTAAATATTCTGTAGACACTGGTGGTTCACAGACCATAATCTAAGACCTATTGGTTTAGCTTGTAAATGGTGAGGCAGAGACTGCCTGATCTTTGTCATGTAAAGGGCTGACTATGCTGTTAGTCCTTAACAAACAGATATTAACTATTGGCAACAGAGAAGAAAGTCACTCATGGTTTGTATCATCTGGTCCAATGATCCTCCAATTCTCATTTGTACTGCTGGAATCCACTACTTCTGATATTATTTTTCTGTACCAGTGAATCCACATTTCCAGAAGTATGACTTCTGGGTGGGCAGTAATGCCAGAAACATTGACTTGTGTAACCTAGGAACTGGGCATCCCCTCTGCAGGTAAGTGGAAAATGACTGATAAAGTAACCCAGATTCAAATGCACCCCAACTTATCTGGTTCAGTAGCAACTCTGCTGTTCTGATGTGTTGTAATTTTTGATGACCAAATTAAATTGCATTGGAAATTAGGATACAACAATTAGACAGGAACAGTGAACATCAAAGGCCAAGAGGAGAAGAGCTGATTGAACAAATCTGGTCATTGTAACCCTAGGTACCTCACCACACCCTTCACCTCATCATGTGTAACTTATTGCTAAATGCCCTCTACATCTTATTCCTTTTCACAGGATATCCAACCATCTTCCTCCTTGAGATGATTTGATTTCTGCTGCTGATTGAGTTATTTGGCTCCATGTTCTAACTACCATCTCAGTAAAGAAATTCTGCCTTTGTTGCTTAAATGTCACTCATCTCCCTACCTCGTCCTCTAGCACTGCCTATGATACTTGGTTTTGAATTAGTTAAAGCCTCATGCAGCTTTTTCGCATCTCTTTATTGCCGCCTCCTCTCCTTTTTCTACCACAACAAGAGGCTGCCCAAAGTTCCCCAAATTATTGTTGCATGTTTTTCTTCTCATTGATTCATCCATCCTATAAGATGGTTACCAAGGATGAGTACACACTATGCTAAAGGTAATAGGTTTTGTTCATGAAAAGTTCCAGGTCATTAGAAAGCCCAATCCAATTCAACAATGGATTCACCAGCAATGGTATCCCAGGTGTCTGAAATATAGTACTGTGCCAAATCTAATTTTTTTTCCCCATCTGTATGAATTTCACATCAAGGAGTCGTGTGATTTTTATATATATATATATATATATCATGCTCACATATTTAAACCTTTGTGCTTTCTTTTTTCTTGATCTAATTATGCTGATGGTTTTCCTCTTTTAATCCTAGTACCCCCAACTACTTTTTCTAGGGTCTGACTTTGTATCCAATGAGCAAGATCCTGTTCCAGTGTTACCTCCTTTTTAAATTACTTTTTAATATAAACAGGACAAATATACATAAAAAATCCAAGTAAAGAAAACAGTGCACCTATACAGGTGTTTCAATCTGCTGGGGTTCAGGTTGGTTATAGATAGCATGTAAAATACAGCTATTAACGTAATGCATATGAGATGACAGTAATACACCAAGTGGCCCATTTTGTTGGTTTGATGGCCTGTATGTTCAAATTCTCTGAAAATTCTATAAATGGAAGCCACATCTATTAATCACTACCAGCTTTTGTCCTTCTCGCACGTGAATGTTAATGTAACACACACCCCTCATACCATTGTCAGAGGGAATGCATATTTGTACTTTGTATGCTTCTTCTTAAATTAAGGTCTCTCTGATTATTTATAATACTGCTTTGTCCTTTATATAATGCCTTTTTAATACACAGTCTCAATGTTTTAAAATCCCTACTGAACAGCCTGGTGAGGTAGGTAAGTATCAGACCCATTTTGAAGTTGGATAAACAGGGGAACGGAGAGGAAAAGTGCCTTGCTCAGGGTGACACACAGAGCTGGGGGAACCTTGAAAATGTTCATGGAAAAACATAACATATATAATTTAGATGCAAATATTCAGACCAGCCTTAGTTCTACAGCAAATCTGGGACTTGAACCCAGGAATCAAGACTCCCAGTTCCCTGCTCTAACCATCTGTTAACATCATTTCTCCATTAGGGCCTTTCATTAGCTTACACTTTGCCACACTGAACAACTCCTAGCCCACTACATCATGTGTACCCCTAATTTATCCAATTCCATGTAAATTCTATTGCTCTATCCTCTGGATTTTCTGATTCCTATATTGTCTCATCAGAGGTAACTAGTGTTTTGTTTTGTTGTTCTTTATTTTTAAAGAAATGTGCGGCAGTGATTAATTACATAGAAACAGCTCATTTCTTAATGGGGGCCACTGCATGCTGAGCTCTGGAAAATCTGACCCCAAGTAAAGAAAGTCCTAGACCTTATCATCATGGTGCTACCCTCTTTACTTCTGGTCACCCCATACTCCCCTTCTGTTTGTAAAGTAGTAAGAGTCAATCCGCTATTGTCAATTGGAGAATGAAATCAAAATACGGTTGGGTGTCACCCTGGTTTAGGAGAATGCTGTAAATTATATTCATGACTGGGATGTGATCCCTGGCAGGGTTGGGGGCATTGAGGAAGTAGCACTCAAACTAGCAAGGAGAACATGAGGGCACTTTCCCCATCATTCTGCAGTGCTTCCTCTGACTGATTCTGGTCTTGATAAGACCGGCTCAGCTGAAGACTACTACCCATCCAGAAGGATCCTTATTTCATGATGTGGCCTTGAGGTTGAAGGATCAAAAGGAAAGATGGGATTTCCCCATCCCTTTCAAAAAGAGTGCCCCTACTCATGAATGTCTCAAGGGCAGGCTGCACTTGCTAGTCTGCCCCCTGCCCAGGGTAACTGAATTAGTTTGTGTTTAACAGGCCAAAGGTGTCTTTTGAACATAAACTGTACATACTGATAACTGATGTTTGTTGTACCAATGCCACTGTCCTTGGAATGCGGAGAGCCCTGGAAGGTTTCAAGAGTCAGAATGGTCTGCTTCGCAGGTAGTACACATCAAAGAGCATCATGCCATAGTTCAGCACCTTGGATAGTTTTCCAGTTCTATGTGGAGTGCCATGTATCTATACTCACTGTTCCTTCTGGTAACAGTGAAATTTCCCTTCCAGTTCGAGAGAAGAATACAGAATCCATTGATTTAATTATGCCCCAGTTGTTAGGGAGGCTTAATTCTCTGGAACCAAGAGATTGCTGATGAGGCTAAAATATGAAGATGGAAGATAAATTCTCCATTTAGCATTTATCAGAAGAAGTGGGAACTGTTGTTTGCAAGGTACAGCATCACCTGCCAAAGGTTCTTTCCTTTCCTTTCATTTGGATCAGTTCCATTGTTGTTGTTTTATTTATTTGAAACAAGTGATTCCCAGGGCATTGTACTTCGCTTTAGCCCAGCCTTGAGTTGGGTGTCTAGCAGCAGGTAGAGAAGATAGAGAGCTGTCCTGCTGAGGTGGAAATTACACACTTCTGCTAACAGGGACTGTTCTTATGGGAGAGGTTTGGTTCTTGTTGGAAAAGGCAGGCACCCTCCTGGTTTATTCAGAAGATGTTTCAAATCCTGTGGAAGAGGAACAAGTTAGTTCTTGGAATGCAATAGGTGAGTTTAAAAAAAATCAGTCAGAAGAAGGGGAAGAGGTAGGGACTGAAAGAGGAGGCAGCCCTTCTGCTGTTACGGAGGGTTTGCAGTGGTTCCCTATTCATACCCTATGGTTTATCACCAGGTTAATCCTAGCTACACAGCTGCGCCTGCGTCTTCTCATATCAACGGAAACAAGTTCAGGACAATGAGCCCTTCCATTGCATTCTCCTCCATCTCCACAGACTAGGAGAGGGAACTTTAAACATACAAAGTGGGGAGGGAGATTCGGGCGCATGTAGTCATCACCCCATTCGTGTAAGACCCTGGCAAACTCCTCTTTTACATCCGGGAGCCAGGCAAGGCTTCGGTAGATGCGTGTGCCTCCTTAAACACATGCTTAGCCTACCATTTCCGTTCATCAGCGCTGCTCTTCCTTGAAACTCCTCGAAGATGGCATGTTTTACGGCTGCCTGCGTGTCCGCATCTGAGGCCCTCATGTGACACGAGCTCTCTTCAGGACAAGTACTAGTGTCCTCCTGCCTGCAGGACTCAGCCCTGCAGCAAAGGCCATCCCTCCATGCGCACTTGCTAAAAAGAATGTCCAGGGCTGGAGTTCTGTGCGAGGGTTGTAATGTACCAGCTCTCTCTAGCCTAGAGAGACAAGTCCTGGGTTGGGGCGTGCGCGGATGTGCCACTGGCAACGCCTCTGATCGTGCTTTCTGGCTGCTGCCTAATAACAAAGAGGGCTCGTCGGCTATTTTAAAAAGCCAAATCTCTCCCTGCGCCTGGCGACGCCTATGATGTGATCTGTAATAGCGGTGTGATTTTTCCCAATGTTGCTGTATCACTAGCAGTAGTTTGCCATGTTATTGTCTGGCTACGAGAGAGAGAGAGAAACAGCATTACTTCATTGATTGCAGTGTATTGACATTAGGAAATTCATTGCGAAAGAAGTTGATAATAATTAACTGAGTTAATAAATAAAGAATGTGCGTATACAGATTAGACAGTAAATAACTTACTGGCTTCTTGATTGTCCCTGCATTTTGTTTTTCATTCAGTCAAAGTGTGAAGTGGGTTGGTTGGTGGGGATTGGGAAGGGGGAGGTAAAATATGCACTCTTGAGAGAGACTATTTCCACCCCAGCAATAAACCTTTTCTTCTCCTAGGGTGTGTGTGTGTTTGTTTGAATCTACGAGCCACGATTTTAATTTTTAGCTACATGCCTTGTGCCATCTTCCAACAACAAGAGATCTGTTTAAAAATAGCATCGACCCATTGCGCTCGCCTTTTGTAGATATTTTAAGAAGTAGCTGTGTCCTTTTGTCTCAGAAAAGAGCAAGCCAACTCACCTTTAAAGGTCCTGATTACCTTACTTGAGAACATACAGAGGCTTTTGGTTGGCTCCCTACCCCCCACCCCCATCTACCTGGCAGCCAAATATATTAATTCCTCTTCCTTCCTAATCCTTGTAATATAGTGGGGGGAGGGGGGAAGAGGTATATTTTCTGGTTTGGAGATGGGAAGGGTGGCGTGTGTGAAGGACCTTTCTTTGTCAAATAAACTCTGCATTTGTCAACAAGACAATTCCTTTTGTTTGGTTGCTGCTTCGTGCATGGTGTATGTTTTTTTTAAATTATTATTATTGTTAATTTGGGGGCGGTGGGGGTGCGTGTGCCACTGTATAACATCAGATTTAGCCATTTGCGTATAGTAGCATTATGATTTTAATTGCAATTTCATTTGTTATTCTCTCCCTCTCCCCCACCCCCTCTCTCTGTATAATCTGGATCATTGCTCTCTGTAGCTGATTCCGTGGGAGACCAAGCAGAGTGCGTGGGTGCAGAATATAGAAAGCCAGAGCCATAGAATCTGTTATTTGCGTCACTCTTGGAGACGGGGCTGTTTGCCTGACAAATATACAGAATTAATCCTAGTTTTATCAATATCTGTCTTTTGCTACAGTAGCCAAACACAAGCGTAAGGTGGTGGTGGGGACTAGATGTTGCTGAATGTTGATGTTTTTGTTCATAAAGCTGCGGGGGAGAGGGGTGCGAGTGTGTGCAGGAGAGGGGATGCTAAAATATATTCAGCAACCCCCGTGCTATTTGCCCGAGAAATACAAAATCTCCGATTTTATTCCTATTTCTGTTTGCTACAGTTTCCAAACATGAGGTGGGGATATGTCCCTGCATGGTCTGTCTATGCAGATTTCTCTCGCTCTCTGTGTGTTTCTGCATGGGAAATCTGTGTGTGTGTGTTTAAAATATATCCATACCCTCAGTGCATATTTTTTCTCTCTCTCTCATAAATACACGCATACCCCACAGGATTTTTGTGCAACTGTGTGGAAAGCTGCACAACACAAAATATGGGGCTTGCTAATTAACTCTTTCCCTCGAATTGAAGTGCCTTTCTGCAAGCACAAAGCTCCAAGCACAGACATCTTTTATGATGAACTAGAGCCTCTGAAGAGGAGAATCTGAACGTGACGTCAATAGCTGATAACTGACGCAGCCTTGCAAAGGAGTCTCAGGCTGGCTCCTTGTAGCCTGCAAGCCCTAATGATTCTATTTTTTCCCAATCCCCCCCTCGTAGTGAATGACTAGAACGCAAACACACACACACACCAGATTTCATATATAGCTATATATAGACAGAAAGCTTCTTTATTCTCCAAACAAAGGAATTTGTTTTTTAAAAAAGCATTGGGTGGGGTGTAGAGAATTAAAGAAAACCCTTTCTTTGTGCGTTCAGTGTATGCAACCATCGCTCTGTCTCTCGGCAAAACAAGCTTCCCTGCCAGAACCCCACGTTTGTGCATAATGTTAAACTGGTGCATGGTGGTGGTTGTGTTTTGATGGTTGGTTGGTTGTTTTTAAAGCCCACTTCATAAAGACCCTGCAAGTAGACAGACACAATAATGCTTACAAGGCAACAGGCAGAGAGACACAGAGAGACAGGCTCAATACAACTGTGGATTGGGGTTTTGTGTAATAGGACAGCATGGAAGACGGTCTGTTTTTTTTGTTTTTTGTTGTTGTTTTAATTCTCTGCAATGATGCACCTAAAGCAACTGTGGATGGTGGTGCAGAAAGAAGCGGGGGGGAGGATTGGGGGGGGGGATTGGGAGGGAACTTAATGTACATTTAATGTTTTGGATGTAACGTTCCAGCGAAATGGCTTTGTGTGTGGATTTTTTCCCCAGTACCTGCTAAAAATAGCATCAGGGTTTTGATCGCGTTCCAGAAATAGACAGAGGGTTGCACTTGTATAAAAAGAGAGCGCGAGTGGAAGAAAACCTGGACATCACCGCAGTATTTTTTTTCCAACTCCTGTCTGGAAATTAATTGTTGGATTTTTCCTCTCTCTCTCTCTCTCTCTCTCTCTCTCTCT